CACAAAACGCTTTATTTAACCTTTAATTCGTCAACAACTACAACGACAACTACTTTGAGGCTGCCTCGCAGACATTATGTCACCGCTAACTATATCTTCGCATCTTCTTCTTTGTGTGAAATTCTGTGGGAGTGGGATTCGTGGACCGATTTCACTAAGACAAATCTGTTTTAAGGTGTTTTTTGCCGTGTGCTGAGCATAGCCGGAGAGTAAGAAGCGATGCGCAGACTGAACCCAATATAAACGCTTTCACGAGGGCTATTTTATGAGGTTGGGTTTAGGCATATCTTTACTTTGTGAAGATAACTGCCACACAGTGAAAGGCGGCTGAGCTCGAACTCTTCGACTTAAGAACTGGGTGGACAAATATTGTTCAACTTGAAGGACCAGAGAGATATACTCACAACAACTAAGGAGAAATCTGCCCTTGGTTTCGAGCTCATTAGAATATAAGTTCTTATCAAACCACGTCTCACCCGAATGAAAGGTGTGCACAAATGGGAACCTCTCAGGTGAATAATCGAAACTCATATTTCGAGACAATCAACACTGATTTTCACAATACTCCACTTTTGAGACCCGGTACAAATGGGCGAGTAATAAGGCGAAGTTTGTACTAACATTAATGTTTAAGGTGGAAAATTCCACGATCAGACAGAATAGAGAAAACATGATAAATGCAGTGGTGAAATGAGAAAGGGTGACAAATGCCCTATGTGATGTCGAAATGTGCAGAAGTGTGAATAACTGACACGCTAACGCCTATATACAGAGCTATTGTCACAAACATTGCCATAAACTTATGATTTATGGGGGTGTAATTTTTTCAATCTTGATTTTCTGTTTAGAAGCTTATATCAAACTTGAATTGGGCCCAAATGCTGGAAAACTGGATCAATTTTATTGCATATTGAAGAAAAAAAGTAGACAGGAGTCTAATTTGTCAGCTTTCATGAGATACACCATACATTTATTCTGATTTGTCCGATGAATGCTTGAAATATCTTGTTTTTTTATCTGTTTTTTTTCAGCTGGAGCCAACGAAACTGGACTTTGACTGAAGTCAAGAAGACAATATCAAGACAAGAAGCAATGATATCTGATAGATCCTTATAATTGGCCCTTTTACCTTTCAACCTGAATGCAATAGCAACAATGCAAGCAACTTGGTCTGAAGAGTGACTAAAACGACTTATTGGGAGGCGGAAGGGTATAGACTAAGTATCCTTAGCTATGCCAATGATGTGAGTATGGTCAGCATAAATAGCAGGTTCGCACAGGGTATCAAAGAACCGTTAATTTCATTAAAGGTTGCCCAACGAACAGGGTGGCCATTGGGGAAATTTCTCGAATAGACAGAATGATTTGGCCAAAAGGATAGTTTACTGATGGCCCTGGCAGATGATGTCTTCAGAAAGCTAGCAGCGAAGCTTAACAGCTTGATCGTGCTCTACGAAACAAGTCATAGATTTGAGGTGAAGAAAAGGAAACCGAGAGCATTAGTCTTTGATTTCTCGTTTCATCCAAACATCTGATGGCGTAAAGATCCACGCTTCTTCTGAAAGGAAAATAGAAATGCATAGCATTCTATTCTTGTGACTTTGGTTTGCACTATTTCGTTGCTGGGCTAAAAGAGAAAGGGCGGTATCCTCAAGTTCTCTGGGGGGCGCTTATCACTAAAGCCATGTATAAAATTGTGAAAACAGGTTATAAGGATGGCGCAGAATGAAGCCTCAAAAGTGGGATGGAAAATGTGCATGAAGAAAAATTGGTTGAAGATCACGCTCTATCAAGCTGAGATAAAGCTCCAACCTCGAGATGGACAGAACTTCATGCTTCGGTAGAAGTGATGGGTCTGGTTGACAGGCTTGGAGCTCTTCTTCCGCTTCGGTGACCACGAGGTAGTTGCGTCTAATGTTGACTTAACGGCTGCCTACGCCTTCCAGACCAGAAGGAGGGCTCACCAGACTCGGGCAAAACAAGTGGATGTTGTCTGCTAGACTGGCTTGCTTGGAGGGTGACGGCTATTCTGCCAGCATCCTTCACAAACCGGCTTACGTCACGCGGCATCCCACTGATGTCTCCACCCTGGGTCCCCATCTCCCACTCCTTGTCTAGACCGGCGTCTCCATCTACGCTTAACGTCGACGCCTCTTCGTCCCCCTTCATATCCTCTTCTTCCAGCTCCATCCTGAATCCTGATTCGTCGCCTGGCACCCTGCTCTGCCCCAAAAGGTCATTATTTAGACCAATCAGCTCGTAGTCGCCTAGACCCTCTACGAGAGAACGTTAATAAAAGAAAATGGAAAGCTAAATCAAATTCGGACCCGCTCATTCATTCATAACTTCCTTTTTATTTTATAAGTAGGGTTTAGAGACTACCAATGAGTCAATCATATGAGATGTAATATATGCGAAGAAAATTTGGGTTTCGAGGAATCTCTTGTTTCATAATTGTTGAGCTTACTTCCATTTCGAGTGAAAGTGTTGGGTGAATTGCTCTTGATCAGCTCTTGATCAGCTGTCGATTGGCTTTACTGGAAGATTCATGCTGACGCTGTTTCCGAGGCAATCTCCTCGATTACGGTGAAAAGGTGCTGAGCTTTCGTCCTTCATATGACGGACATCGTCACAACAAAATTCAAGCTAACGAGTCATGAAAACTCACCGGCAAATTCCTAAAAAGTGGTATATACACTCTACATCTGGCCTCTTTGATCAAGTATAAAGTGATTTGGTTAGTTTCGGGTTTCGTGCATATGCGAACACAAACATGCACATACAAATACAGATACAGACACACTTACATGCATAGAAGTTGACATATGACCTCAACTAACCAAATCACTTTATACTTGATCAAAGAGGCCAGATGGAGAGTGTATATACCACTTTTTAGGGATTTGCCGGTGAGTTTTTTTGACTCGTTAGCTTAAATTTTGTTGTAACGATGTTACCTCGCTCTGATGACGCACGAAAGCTTAGCACCGTTT